TATAATTTACTGCCTATTTTAAGCTATCCATCTGAGCTCATATTATGTTTCCCTAGCATATATTATAAATCTAGAAGTATACTGGCTGAGATTAATTTTTCCATGTAGTGCTAAACACAGTCCTGGATAGTTATACTTCAGTTTTCTAAAACTTAATATTTTTACTAAAGTAATACACATGCATAATTTAAAAGCCAATATATTACTAAGATGCTTATGATAACTAATAACATTTTTATTTCTAACCTTTTATCTTAGCTGTGATTGAAAAAAAAAACACAGATGAGGCCGGGGATTTAGTTCAGTGGCACAGTGCCTGCCTCCCAAGTGCAAGGACCTAAGTTTGATCCCTGGTACCAAACAAACAAAAAAACAAACAAATAGAACAAACAAAAAATCAGATGAAGCATGAAAACGAAAAAGGAAAGAGAGCAGATATTTCAGCAGCATTGGTTCTTTATGTACCAGTGGTTTATGTACCGATGGTTTATGTACTTTTTTTTTTACTCTGAGACCTGTATGAGTGATAGAATACTACTATGGGTTCATTAACAGAACTTAGAGGGGGGAAATGTGATCACTGAAAGCCACTAGAATGAATTACATAAATAATCTAGAGAAAGCTTGAAACAACAGTTGTTGTTCTGTTAATTTTGCCATGGTTTAAAAATGTTTATCCTTGGCTGGTTGTTACTCCTTCTCAGATAATTACCTAAGGCAGCTTTTCCAAGGAAAGTGAAAGTTGTCAAGTGAATATGAATTAAAATGCCTGGAATAGGGAGGAAGAACGAGAGCATAAAGGCAAGTGGGGAAGGAGGAAGAATTGAGTTGTGAGCTGCGTAGGGCGTGGAAGATGTAACAACCTTCTTGTAATCTACAGTGAAAGAAATATAACAAGGGGCCAGCGCAGATGCCTGTAATACAGACCAGGACTAACGCTATTGAGTTTTATGTCCTGTTATGTTATACTAGCATTATCATTTTATTCTAGGAGCTGTCAAATTTCTTCCTGGATTTCTTCTGTGATCCATTGATATTGTTTAATTTCCATGCATTTGCATAATTTCTGTGTATTTTTTTGCCATTGATTTCTAGTTTCATTGTGCTATAATCTGGTAATATGCATGGGATAATTTTATTTCTTTTGCATTTACTTAAGCATGCTTCATGGGCTAGTGTATGGTCTATTTTGGAGAAAATTCCATATGCTGCTGAGAAAAAATGTGTATTCTGTTGTTGAGTAGAACACTCTTGAAATGTCTAGTAAGTCTATTTGTTCTGAGGTTTTGGTTCAACTCTGATACTCTTTGTTAATTTTTTGTCTAGTTGATCTAATTGTGCTGATGGAGTATTAAGGTTCTCCACTATAATTGTGTTGATTTTTTTATTTTTTATGTCCATAGTGTTTGTTTTATGAATTTGGATGTGACTGATACATATATGTTTATAATTGTTATCCTGTTGAACTGTTCCTTAAACCAATATGTAGTGACTTTTCTTTGCCTCTTCTGATTGGTTTTGGCTTTAAGTCCACTTTATTGGAAAATGGGATAGTAAATCCTGCTGGCTTTTTAGGTTCTTATTTCATGGAATATTGCTTTCCATCCTTTGATTTTTAGTGTATAGATTTCTTTTTGGGGTTGAACATGTTTTTTGTATATAGCATAGTATTGGATTTGTTTCTTGATCCATTCTGCTAATCTGTGTCTTTTGATTAGAGAATTGAGACCATTCACACTGAGAGTTATTACTGAAAGGTATTGACTTATTCTTGTCATTGCCCTATTTCCCTGTTGCTGATTCCCTTATTGTTTCTCTCCTCCTTAGCTGCTCACCCTGCCTAGTGTACAGTATTTGTTCAATTAGCTCTTTGGGCATTTTCTATAATGTGTCATGATGTTCTTTTCTGATTGTGGCTACGTAGGTTTTTATATGCCTTGGACGACAGTATTGTTAATGACACAAAGGCAATCCAGATATTGGTATACAGAGAGAATCAATTAACAGCAATAACTATACCACCTTGGCAATAGCAATAAAAATCAGCAATAATATAAAAAAAATTCAATTTCTATCACATTCTCTCCAACACTTGGAAGAGTGTCTATGTCGTAACTTTTTCAGGCTAGTGAGTGTCAAATGGTGTCCATGAAGATTTTGTTATTTCCTAGGTAATTAGTGGCTTTAAGCAACATTTATGCTTATTAGCTATACTGATATTCTGTTCTATTCCATGTTCGTATCATTTGCTTGTTTTTCTGTGTGGTTAATAATCTTCTTTGGTTAAAATGTGCACATGAGCAATTGTAAGAATTCTTGCTTTTTAGAGATACTCATCTTTCATCAGTTATAGCCATACTTCTTGTATATCCTGTACCTTTCTAATTTTATGACTCCTTTTATTTTATAGATTTTTTAACTGTTAATATAGTCATGTTAACCACAGTGCTTTCTAAAACCAATGTTTTTAAATGTTTTCCTTAAATTTTTTGAAGCATAGGCATGATGGTTACACACCTGTAATACCAGCACTGAGGAGGCTGAGGCAGGAGGATTGCTTCAAGTTCAAGGCTGCCCTGTACTGCGTAGTGAGTTTAAGGCCAGCCAGAACTACATAGTGAGACCCTGTCGCAAAAAAAAATTTTTTTGAACCTGATTTTTTAAAATAGAATATAGGCTAGTGTTCAATTTGTTTCCTTAATGGTTATACATATTCTAAGGGTTATATATTACTAGTGAGACTTTTCTTAAAAAGTATTAACTTTATGCGCTTAAAAAATTTATTATTGACATGTAATTGTGCATCGTATTTTGATGGTTTTTAAAATTCAGCTTTTTTCTTGAATCTAATATTCTTTAATAGTCTTGAAATATTATTTCTTTTAATATTATTTCTTTGTGACATTGTTTCCTCCCACCCTATCCTTTCTTTATCAAAACAATGAGCTTTTGTTCTTGGTGATGCTATTAATTTTATTGTTAATCTTATCTTTGTCTTTATGTTCTTTCGCTCCTCTTAGTTTTTTCAGACTTATTAAATTGAATGTTTACCTCATTTGCCTAATAAATTTTAATATATTTTTAATATTTAAAGTCTAAAATATTCCTTCTGGCAATTTTGTCATTGACTTGTTCCAAGTTTTGGAATATATTATTTTTCTTACCATTGAGTTCTAAATGTTTCATAAGTCCTTTTTGACCTACTAATCATTTAAATGTGTATTCAGAATTTTTTCACATGTGTATTTTGGGTACTATGTTTCATTTATATTTTATTTAGATTATATTTTAGCTGAATACTGTGCAACATTTCAAAATGATTATTTGGAATTTATTCAACTTTCCTTTATCCTAAAATAGAATCTGTATTTTCACATTTGTGTGTCTTGCATGTCTGTATAAAAAGAATATGCATTCCAAAATAGTTGAGTTAGGGTTTTTTATACAGGTTGTCTATTAGACCAGTTTTGTTAATCATAATCAAAACTTCTATTTCTTTTGTGATCTTGTCTCTTTAGTCATTTTCTTAAATAAGTATGTATATGTAAAAATAATCTATGATTTTGTGCTTATAATCTTTTATTCTGTCATTTGCTTTATATATTTTGAGACTCTTTTGTTGGTTCATTTAGGTTCAGCATTGCTTGTCTTTCTATGAATTCATTGTTCTGTATATCCTCACTTAAAGACAGCATTCCTAACCACAACTTTCTACCTCAAGATTTATTTTTGCTAATATTTTTCTAAAGCTTTTAATTGTTTATAAGATAGTAATTGTGTGTTATCTTATTTTCATTTCTTTCAAGTTTTTGACATCTTATTTTAATGTTACTTATAAATGAAAGATGCTACATTTTAGTTATTTTTAATAGATGAATTTAAATATAGTTTTAATTATTGACATTTATTTAGTATATATTTCTACATTTTTGTTCTTTTCTGCTTACCACATTTTATACTGTATTTTACCCTTCTTAAAAAATTGTATTTTTCTTTCCAGCCTTGTGTTGGATTTATTTAATGTTTCTAATTTTCTCCTTTTTCACTTTTTACTGCTTTGATAATACTTCTGTAATGAATTCTCTGATGTAGGCTTATTACCCTTAATTTTTAATCAATACATTTACTTTACCAATAATTCATTCTAGTTTATATCACAGTCCTTTTTTAGTTAATAACATTCTTTCGTTCATCTTTTTTCTTAGAAGAGAAACATTTTTATATTTGATAATCAGGTGGTAAAATATAAATCTAATATAGTTAACCCCTCTGTTTTCCCCAATGTGTAAATGGAGTCTTTTTAATTTGAATTATTATAATTTTATTCAAGAACATTTTTCCAGGTACATTTTATTATCACCTATCACATCCTGTAAACATGTCATTTATGCATAATAAAAACTAAGCTACTCATATTTGAAATATGTTGCCATATAAAAAGCAAAATTATGTATACTCAATAATGTACTACATTAATAATTATATAGTTTTAGATGTATTTACTTTTCAAAAGATAACTATAGCATTAGGCATCATAAACTATAAACCTCTTAATATGTGCTTATTTAAGGTATTAATTAACCAAAATTTCCTACTCCTGACTGCTTTAGTTAGGATAATTTTCTCCTAATGCTTATATTTGTCTGGACTGTCATTAGCTATTAATCATAAGCTATAACTAGAAAAATTCTTAGAAATCAACTTTTTTATTTTAATGAATTAGTAAATTCATTAGATCCTAATTAATTGCTGACTTGGACCTGAAATCCTGTCCTTCATTTTCAATTTAAAGTTGTTCATTCTGTACCCCATAGTATCTTTCTGTTGATTTATGTAAAAAGCTTACTTTTTGATAATTCTCTTTTGAAACAAATATAAAAGGTACAGTATCTTCTGTTTAGTAATTTACTTTATGACTTGCTTAAACAGCAAAAATGTTATAATAGTCATTAAATGGATTAAATTATTTTAAATATAATTATTTCTTTTATTAATTTCAGGTGTAAGCAGTGTTCTAGTTTGAAACCAGTACAAAATTTAAATTCCCTTGTTGGTGAGACATCATGGATTCCCTCTTCTGTGGCAGAAGGTTAACTAAATTTCCATTGATTTTTAACTCTGTATATAAAGTCATATCAGTAATTTATATTTCATAATTTCTGGATGTATAAGACTGAGTTATAACTGTTCTTAAGTAAAAACTATTTACACAGCTTACAGTGAGAACACATTAAGTTTTTAAAATATTTGCAAAATATCCCTTTCATCTTCCAGTATTTTTAATCATAATGTGTATTTTAGTATTCAGTCCTTTGTTTTCCTGTTAACCTTTGATCGTAGATGTAGCTTCTGAAAGATCTCAGTAGCTCAGGATATCCTGAGGTTGAAAAGGATTTTAGAGAGAGTTGCTACAACTTTTCTCCAAACATCCATCTACCTAGAAGCACAAGAATCTTCTTAATTGCATTTTTAACTGGCACCCAGCCCATGATGGAAACTCTTTCTGTGATGGGGTACTTGTTGCAGTGAAAGGTAGCATGTACCCTTAAGTTTTAGTCTTCAATTTGCCTACATGCAACTTCAGTATAGGCCGAATTCTGTATGCTACTCAGAGGACATATTTCCTCTTCTGTGTGGTAGTCAGACTTTGTTCATTTGACGATACTTGTCCAGCCTCCATTGAATCTTTATTGCTTCAAGCAGGTAGCCTCCCTTCCTTCAGTACTCTCACATATTCCTTACTATGTTGTTTCTCCTCTTCAGTGAACATTCCAGGTTACTCATGTTCTTTTTAGAATTTGGCTTTCAAAGCTGGACATAGAGCTGCAGATATAGCTTGGCAAATTCAGAATATAAGGAAAATTATTTTTCTTACACTAACCACTTAGAGTCTACTAGCCTGAAATTTCATTGTATGGATATTGACTTGTATACTTAGCCGTGTTTTCTTTCTTCTTTTAATCTAGCTCTCCCACATTATTATCTGTATTTTGTTTGTGGTCCTGTGAAGTCTCCTGTTAGCTTTCACATAAACTTCTTGATACCAAGTCTTGTTCCCCATCATACTCTTAAAGCAGTTTTCTTTGCTTGTCTGTGTGGTCTCTTAGCTCTCTCAGGTCTCATCCTTCTGGGTTTTAGTGCACACTTTTAACCTGTTGAGAACTTTTGAAGTCTGAAAATCAGTTCCTCTAATATTAGTAGCATGTAGTATGCTTAAATTCATATCAGTGTGCCCTAATTTATTATTTGTATCCTTAGTACTACTGTTTATATATAGATCCCATAGATGGAAGCTAATACAGCATTCTGTAAACATATTGAGTATCTTCTGCTTCCAAACAAAGTCTTCTTGTCCTGAATTCTCATGTATTTAGTATCGCCAATTTCTTTTTTCCTCATCTTACAAAATTATGAAATCCTAGATTGTGACATTTTTGTCCATTTAACCAGATGATATCTCTTAAAAATAATAGGATGTCACTGACACTTGTAATAGGAAAAGAAAGATATGTTAAAAAACACTTAACTATATGCTATTTTTAGAACATTCTAGTATCTTAATTTTATCTTTCATATGATTAGCATATAACAAATTGCATTTTATAAATCACTTTTTGTGGTTTCTTTCAAGATATCAACTCATGCTGAAGATACAATAGTTTTTAATCAAAAAGATTCAATTGCATATAATATCATGAGACATTATCCCTATGTAAAGGTAATGGAGTATTCCAAGTGAGTGCAACAAATTGATAGTAGAGAGCAAAAGTCACATGTGTAAGATTTTCTTTGTTGCTTAAATTATTTCAGTAAACAATATTCGTATGTACATACAGTTAATTTTATCTTGATAAAAACTCATGTGATTTGGTCTTTTTTTCCTCATTAGTATTGGGTATTGTACCCCTGCAGCATGTATTTGTTATGACATTTACACTTGATGATGGAACAGGAGTATTAGAAGCTTATCTCATGGATTCTGTAAGTAACAGGGCTAGTAAAAGATGTTTCTAATTATAAACTAATATGTTAAAAAATTAATTTACTCATGCCTGCCTTCTTCCTAAAAGAACATAAGGCACCGTAAAACTATAAATCAAATGTAAGCATATAAATCTAAATTGTATGTATCTCTTTTCATTTCATCTTGTAAATCATAATCAAAAAATGAAGAATTTAGAAATACAAGTGGATGGCTGAGTCATTCTTTTTACCATATGAAAATTCTACTACTCCAGGGACAAAGAGCAGAGATGTCCACATTATGTAGACATTATTTATAACCAGTTGACAATAATTTCTAAATATCCACATTTCATATTAGAGGAAGCAAAGTTATTTTTTGTTAGCAAATAGATATTGTGTCAAGTTTTAGGACTGTGTAGTAAATCAGTTATTTGAGTTCAGGCCAGTACTCCAGTTCACGAATTCTACAGTCTTCATGGAGTGAAATAGTACAGATTTTTTTTAGTTAATAACTTAAATGATGTTCTTAAAATACTTCTACATTAATTATAGTTTTAAAAAATTCAATAACATTTTCTTTTTCTGTCATAATTTTTTGAAGGACAAATTCTTTCAAATTCCAGCATCAGAAGTCCTACGTGATGATGACCTTCAGAGAAATATGGATTTGATCATGGATATGTTTTGTCCTCCAGGAACAAAAATTGGTAGGCAATATGATTTTAACAATATCCCTCTTTTTCTCGAAATAGCAACATATTTGTATGTAATCTGTGTACTTTAGAACTCTGAAATATTTTAGTCCAAAGTGATTGATCCACTGTATCATCAACCTTTTGATGAGATAGTAGCAGATATAAAGTAGGTAAAAAAGAAAAAGATCTTACAAATACTTCAAAATAGGAAGTATGATCAAAAAATGCAGTGAATGTTTAGGTTACACACTCGAAATACTCCCTCTCACTTCAAATATATTTATCCCATTGTTCTTGCCACTTTCTGAAGCAATTCTGAAAGTCATTTTTGTGAGTATCTTTAATTGCACTTTCATGGGTACCTCAAGTCCTGAATTAATTCAGAATTTTTAGGACAATTTCATCAATTAAAACAGTACAGTGTGTCTTCATCTACCTTATTTACTGGATCTGGCATCGTGAGACTTCTGGCTCTTCCCCAAGGTCAAAATATAACCATGAAAGGTAAACATTTTGAATCAACTCAGGACATGGAGGCAGCCACAACAGAAAAATTAAAGATGTGAAAGAGGACTTCCAGAAATGCTTCAGAAAGCAGCAGAAGTAATGGCATAAATGTATTCAATTTGAGAGGGACTAATTCCTTTTACTGTAATAAATTTTTTTAGAATTTAGTCATTCACTGTAGTTTGTATCATACCTTATATAATAAAAGAAGCACTTTTGATTACAAACATACTTAGCGCTGTTTTTACATGAGCACGTTTTACTTGAAATTATTCCAAAAGGGATGAAATATTGACAAGAAGCATTTAAGTTTTTAGTTAATAATTTTAATGTACTTTAGCAATTTTCTGTGTAAACATTCAGTTAATCAACCAGGCTTTCATCAAATCACATTGTAGGTATTATTCCTGCTGCCACAGAATTTTCCTTCTGAGACCATTATTTCTGTTTGTATTCAAATTTGCAGATCTCAATGAAAAGACAATTTATTTCTCCTAATAGTTTTTATCAGTAAATTTTACCTGTTGGAAATTTAGCTTCTTAACTTTTATAGGTTATTTTTAACCGGACTTTACTTTTACCTACTCAATCACTGCACTTTAATTAACAGTTCTGCAATTGATAGTTTCTGTTCATCTGTAACAAAGTATAACTTGTATACCTTTGTTTGTTGTCAGTTTTAACTTGTCTTGGCAGTTTGAATTATTTTGGGTTTATTTCTGGGAGTAAAACTCCTGGACTGGTAGCTTTTGATGTGTACTATTAGATTATTTTTCTATAACTATTTTATTTATACTTCTGCCAGCAGTATAGGAGAGGTGTCTATCAACCTTTTCCCTTGCTAAATTAAATGCCTTTCAGTCTTGAATGTGAAAAATCATAAGAGCCTTTTCTTCAAATTATAAATGAATTTACTGTGATCAGAACCAAGCCCTAGAAATGACATTTATGTCCGCCAACTTGTCTGGGCTCCATCTCTGCTCCCCATGGGTGTTCCAGCAGGACAGCAGTAAGGCTGGAGCTATTTTGGAGTTCAAGTTCCATTTCTTTTCAATCAAGAAGAAAAAAACAAACAAACAAAAACACAAGGTACGGTGATACCTTGGTTCCCGAACTTAACTCTTTCCACTTTTGGTCGCAAGCCAAGTTGGACAAGAAACTAATCAAATTCGTTGATTAGGTTCAATGTTGACCTTATTGGGATATTTGATTAACTTCATTCATTTTGTGACCAGAAATTGTGAAAGAATTAAATTTGAGAAGTGAAGTACTACTGTATAATATTGGACAATGAACAGGGGACAAAGGAATACCAATTGGCGATGAGATGATTGCAGTGCCTTTGTTGTCAAAACATTTTGAAAATCCAATCATTTTTGTCTGTTGTTCATGAAAAGTTCAAATTAGTAATGATTACTAGTTATCTGTTTAGTTTTAATGGCTAAATATCATTTTCTTTTTGATTTGTAGATGCATATCCATGGATGGAATGTGTTATCAAGTCATATAATGTTACAAATGGAATGGAGCAGCAAATTTGCTATCAGATTTTTGACACTACAGTTGCAGATGATGTTATCTAATATTGCCATTCAAACTAGCATGTGTGAAATATTGTAATTTCAGGAAACTATTACTTCCTATTAGATTATTATAAAACACTTAAGAGATTTAGCTAAATACCAGTCACAATTTAATTTTAACCACAGTTTTTCTTTAAAATAAACAGACATTGTGTTACCTTAATGCCTTTTTGTAAATATGTTAAAAATCTTCTGATTGCTCAAAATGTCCACCATGATGAATTCCAGAGATAAAAAAGAAAAGGTATTTTGAATAAATAAGGACTGCATTGTCAATGGCTCTGAGCTCTTTAAGAGAAGATATTTTGTTACCCAGCACTACAATCACTTTTCCTGTGGGTTGGCCCCTGTGTCAGCCACTGATTTCTCTGCCAACCACCACCCCTAGTTGAGCTTCTTTCCTTGCCCGTGTTTTTACACCAGCAAAATTGGTGATGTTAGCATGGTATGGAAGTAGAAAATGTCCTTACTTTTAATCTCTCAGCTTTTACTTGGAGCACAGCACATAGTAGCTCCTGGTTCTGTTTAATTTTCCTTTTTTTAATCATTATTATTGCAGGTTTGCAGTACATAATGAATACATTCATTGCGGGGAGTTGGTGCATGCACATATCACATCTGAGTGCTTTTTACATGCCTTTCTGCCCTCCCCCACTCCCAGCTCTTCATCTCGTCTGCAAAATCTACTTCCCTGCTTCCTATCATCTTTTATTTTGCTTTTTTAATTATTTATATTTTTAGTTTCTCATACAAGAGAAAGCGTGCAAATAACTTTCTGTGTTTGATTTATTTCACTTAGCATTATGGTCCAGTAGTGCATAGAGTTTCTTACAAGTGACTCAAACTTCTTTTTTATGGAAGAGTAGAACTCCATTGTGTATAAATACTGTGTTTTCTTTATCCATTCATCTACTGATGGATATATATGCCATATCTAAGATTTAGCTATTATAAATTTTGCTACTGTAGACATGAGTATGTGTGGAGCACTGTAATATGATGTCTTTAACTCTTTGAGGAAGATACCAGAAGAATAGCTGGGTCGACTGGAATTTAAATTTTTAGTTTTTGAAGAATCTCCATACTGATTTCCATAGTGATCATACTAGTTTATATTCCCACCAACAATGAAAAAATGTTCCCTTTCCCCACAACCTCAACAGCATTTGTTTTTCTAATGATCAAAGATGTTGAACTTTTTTCATATACTTACTGGCCATTTGCACTTATGCTGTGAAGTGTCTATTCATTTCATTTGCCTATTTTTTGATTGGGTCTTTTATTTTGGGAGGTCTAATATGTTTGAGTTCTTTATGTTTTCTACATATTAGCCTTCTGCCTAAGGAGTACTTGGTGAAACTGTTTTTCCTATTCTGTAGATTGTCTCTTTAAATCTGTTTCCTTTGCTGTACAGAAGCATTTTAATTACCAGTCCAATTATTTGAATACAGAATGACTAAAATTGAGTAGTTAATTTTTATAAGATAATATAACAGGAAATATAAAAATAACAGTTTTATCAAATTTATTTAGTGGAAGAATCAACTAGTTGAAATTACACCTACCTGAGTAACACTCAGGATAGTCAGTATGTAAACAAACGCAATTCCTCAGTGACACTCAGGATAAGCTGGTAAGTGCTTAATTTGATATGATCCCATTTGTTGATTCTTGGTGTTATTTCTTGGGCCATATGTTGAGTGGTAGAATGATATGATGTAGCAAAGCAAATATAGTACCATATTAGATATGGGTAGCTGTCTGCATACCAGGTACTATGATCATTACTTAACATGTATTTGTATCTTACAACCCATTTTCTGGATAAGAAAACTGAGGCTTGGTTGGTAAGCTAACTGAAGTAAGTTCACATAATTTCTAACAATAGTACTTCAATGCAGGTAATGTGGAACAAAATATAACATGAGATATTCTGCATATGAGTCTTGTTTTAAATATCTGAATTTACATTAGAAATAGATAATCAAAGGAGTAAGGATATTGCCCTGCCCTATCAAAAAACTTTTAATATGTTATTTGGAAAAGAATTGGATAATTTATTTTCCCTCTTCATAATCCTAAATTCTAGTTCCTGGGTACATTAATACATCCCAACACCTAACAACAAACTGCCCTTGTTTTGAAACAGACTGATGCTGCTGTTTTAGGGATATAAAGTCTTGGTTCAAAACATTTTCAGGCAAAAAATTGTAAAACCATTCAGTTGAACAGATGTGCTTTAGTACTGATGATGTAGAGATGCAAAGGTGAGAGCAACATCATCTTTGCCATCGGGAAGCATCCACTCTAAATGTTTTAGTCACAGGGCTGTGTGTTCACACCATGAATTGTGAGATCCCCATGTTTACAAAGGAAAATTCTTCCTATGAGTCTCCCTGTTGCTAGGTATCTTACTTTCTTGTCTCTGGGACAATATACCTGACATCCACAACTTAAAAGAGGAAAGGCTTGTTTTGGCTCACAGTTCTTTCATAGAGGTTTCAGTCCATGGTTGGCTGCCTCCGAGGCAGAAGAGCATGGCAGAGGAGAACAGCACATGACATGGAAGAAGGAAGCAAAGCGATCAGGGGAGGAGGGAGGGAGACAGACTTGCCAGGCAGTGCCTCCAGTGACCCACCTCTTCCAACCAGGCTTCACATCCCAAGTCATCAGAGGAGCAACCCACCAATAAGTATCATGCCCCTAGGGTCCATTCACGTCCCCAAAGCCCCACATATGAGCACATGAGGCTTTGAGAGTATAAACCATAGCACTAGGTTGTTTTTTTTTTTTTTTTAAATAAATCCTCCCATTATCATGACTTCATTTGGTTTATTGTGGTGTTTTATCTTTTTTCTTTTCCTTCTTCCCAGTGTTGAAAAAGAAGAGTTCTATTAATGCCCAGCATTTATCCAGTGGCAGTGTATGTACAATACCCTAATCAGGAACCCAGAGCCTTAAGAAAATTTCATTTCTAGAGCAACAAGATTGGAGTTCATTACGTCCAGACTTGATCTCTGTCCCTTGTAAGTGAATACTGAAAGAATCTTCCTATTAGATTTAAAATTGCATAAATTTCAATTTTCAATTTCTGAAGCATCTATTTTTTAGACAGTGCTAGATTATCTTCTGTCCGTGCATTCCTCACAGGAAGAAAGTACAGGTCTTAAAAAATCAGAAGCAATCTATTCTTAAGGTGTGGTAATAAAAATGTACTGCTCATAGGTTCATTTTGTATCCACCCTCAATTTTACTGCTTTATCTGAGAGATCTATATATGCCAAGACACAATATGTCATTCTCTCAATTATATATCTCGTTTTTTTGTGTTTTTTGTTTTACCTTTGGTGGTGCTGTACACTGGAAGTTGTTTCTTAGTGAATACAGAAAGATTGGCATTGATGAGACAGAAGATTGTGAAGGTGTCTCTGTTTACCTTAAAACACCATCTTCACACCCCCACTCTGAAGCCTAAGGCAGAGGGAATATTGAATTTGAGACCAACCTGGGCTGCGCAGCAAAACCTTGTCTCAAAACAAACAAACAAAACAGCCGTTTTACATCTTTGTACAGTAGAGGGGGACTGCATGCCCAGGTTTGCAACTGGCACAGATCCTATGCCTTAGCTACTTGCAAGTCACAGGAACAGGCCAGAATTTCTTCCTTTCCCACTGCCTTTCCACCCATGCAGTTCTGTTTCAGAAGCAAACCATGAATTTGTTGATAATTGTGATTAAATCTAGCCATTTCTCTTCTGTACTTTCTGGCACTTTTTCTTTGTATCTAGGAAAAATTGCCAAATTGTTTTGATTATTTTTAGTGTTGTTTTAAGTTGTGGCCTTGCATTTCATCAAAAGTAATGTATACTAATAAAATCTTAATATAGCATATGTAAAGTTTAATTCCTACCCTAGCTCATAGCCCCAAAGAAGCCACTTTTAATAGTCTGATGTATAAGTGTCCAGACGTTTTCCTAAGAACATGTGTGTATATAGATTATATATATTGTGTTAGTTACGTTTCTCTCATTGCTGAGATAAAATACCTGACACCCAAAGTTAAAGGGGAAAAGGTTTATTTAGCTCAATTTGTAGAGGTTTCAGTCCGTAATCGGCTGACTCCAAGGCTGGGTGGCAGAGGGTCAATAGTTCATGGTAATGAAAGACAGCAAATGCAACAAGAGACCTTAACAATGTCTTTTTGTCCTCTTTTCTTTTTCAGACTACTTAGGGTGGGTAGCACACACGTCCTTAATTCTATTGTCCTAGAACCTAGCCCCACCATGAAGCAGTCACACACTCTAGATTCAGCCACCTCTAAAAAAAGCATGAGGTTTGAGGGGACATCTAAACATAAGCCATAACATTCCGCCCCTGGCCCCCCAAAGACTCATGCATGACCCTTTATGTAAAAAAGCATTTATTTCATCTCCTCAAGAGTTGCCAAAGCAAAGTCTTAACAATTTCAGTTGCTGAAAAGTCCAAGTCTGAAGTCTTCTCTGAGATTTAAGGCAAACTCTTAGCTGCAAGCCCCTGTACAAATAAAGACAAAGTTAAACACTTCCAACATTGAATGGCACAAGATTGACATTTCCATTCCAAAAGTTACCAACAGGGATACAAAGGAATGAGACCAAAGCAAGTCTAAAATCCAGCAAGGCAAACATTAAATCCTGCAGTTCTACTTCCAGTATCCCTGGAAATCTGTGGCAAATTGTGAGCTCCAAGGGCATGGGTGGCTCCGCCCCTACAGCATTCCAGATGATTCTAGCTCCCACAGCTTCTCTCAGGGGCTGTCTCTGCTCCCTCTTTGCAATTTTCTTCAGAGGATTCATGGTCCTGGCTTCTCCAAACTTCTGGGGTCACCACTGCACCTTTGGCTTCACACTCACAGCTTCACACACTGCCCTCTCAGGAGCACACTGCCTCGCCCCCCAGGCCTTCTTCTGAAACCTGAATGGAAGCCTTCCTGACCCCACAACTCTTGCCTTTTTCATGCACCTAAAATCAGCACCATGTGGTTGATCCCTAGATTTGCTGCCAGCTAGAGCTGTAGCCAGGCTTCCTTCTCTCTTGGCTGTAGGGGTCCAGTGTCTGTGAACGAAATCCTGAGGAACAACTTCCCTAGGCTACCATTCTGGAACACGGTACTCTGGGGCTCTCTTCTCAAAGTAAAGTCCTTCATTTTCTGCAATTTTGAGGCTGCAAAAGGTGGTGTCCTGCTGCTTCTTGTGATGTCCTCAGGCCATCTTTTCTATTCTCCTGTTCCTTCTCAGCAATCATAGT